GCAGAAGTCACTCTAACAAAGTAGGGTTTCTTCAGGCTGAATGTAGAAATAGAACCTGTAATGTTATCAAGACTTGAACAAATATGAGAGGAAGAAAAGGAAGCCCAGCATTTTCTACTTCTATTGGTCTGGAGAGATGCTCCGAGACATAAGAGATGGTCAAAGTGCAGAATGAACACCAAAGTTTTCAAGCTTGTTTGTCATTCTAGGGGATATATTTTTTAAAACACCACTGTAGACTATCTTAACATCTCAAGAAAGAATGAATAAACAAAAATGTGTATGGTAGAGCAGGGGGAAGTTGGCATGGAATCAAGAAAGAGGAAAACCCCCAAGATTAAGAATGTGTCAGTTACCTGTAGCACTGGGTCTAGGAGACTCTGACTGATGCACATGAGTATTTCGGTTTGATTGGTAGGCACCTACTGGGTAGGGAGCTGGGCGTGCCAAGCCTTTTGAATTTGATGCAATAGCTGTTAAGATCATTCAGCTACTCCTCTGATTCCATGCTCAGCAAGCAGCCTTGTGGCTATGATTTGGCTTTCCATATAACTTTACCTGTAGGGAGAAAAAGCAATGATACGGTTCCAGTGTGCTTGGTAATTACTCTTTGCAAATTATTAAATTAGCCTCTGGCATGAGTCTCTTGTGAGCTTCCTCAGCTGAGTAAATCCAGCTAATCCCAACTGCTTCGGGGAACTCTGGAAAAAAATCAGCTTTGCACCTGCAAGAACTGGACTGAGCTTAGTTTTTAATGATTCTCTCCACGTACTCATGCCTTCCATTCTGAGGCCCAACTCCAACAAAGGAGACAGTTTCTCTTCATGTCTGTTTAACTACAATGAAATGACAAAGGTGAGTTCTTCGGGGAAAAGATCTTAAAATAATAACAAATCTCATTGTATAAACCTGTGCTTCTCAAACTGGGAAAATAGATGCATGGCGGTGAGCCAAGATGCGTGCAAAGCCGCAAAGCAAACGTGGAATATCTCCTAGGAGTATCCATTTTGTTCAAGCTAAAATAACATCTATATTGAAACAAGCATGGATTTGGAAGGAAAAATCCCCCTTAATTTTTAGGATAAAATGTGAAACATCAAAGATTTCACACTTGTATAAGAACACATTTGTAATACCTTAACCAATAAAGAAATTTAAAAAAAAATATCTCATCAAAAGACACCTGAAAATGGAATTATAGCAGACTGGGAAAAATAAAACATATCTGATAAAGAACTTTTCTCTAGAATATATAAAGAACTCTTACAAATCAATAAATAATAAGGCAAAAAAAAACCCAACACCCCACACACTTTCTCCCCCTGCCACAAAGATAGGCACAAGATTTGAAGAGAAAATTTATGAATGGCCAACATAAACATAAAAATATGCTCATTATCAACAGTTATCAGAGAAATGCACATGAAAAGTGTGACAAGATGTTACTAGGTAATATGAGAACGGCTAGTCATAGATGTGACAAAACCAACTGCCGGTGAGGATGTGGACCAACTGTAATTCTCATACATCGTTGGTAGAAATCCAAAATAGCCACCTAGGAAAGCAAGCTTGCATTTATGACAAAGTTAACCATACACATGCCATACCACCCGGCAACCCGAGAGAAATGGAAGCAGATTTCCACACAAAGACTTGTATGTGCATGATTATAGCAGCTTTCCCCCGATTAGTGAGAAACTGGAAACATCCCAAATGTCTACCACCTGGTGAATAAACAGGTATATCCAGGTATATCCAGGCAATGGAATACTGCTCAACAATAAAAATTAATTACTGACATGCACAACAGTATGGATAAATCTTCAATACATTGAGCTAACTAAAGAAACCTGAGACACGGTCCTCTTTCTTTGCCTAGCGCAGCCATGGCTCCTGGTCCCAAGAAGCATCTGAAGCGTGTAGCAGCTCCAAAGCTTTGGATGCTGGATAAATTGACCGGTGTGTTTGCTCCTCGGCCATCTACTGGTCCCCACACGCTGAGAGAATGTCTCCCTCTCATAATTTTCTTAAGGAACAGACTTAAGTATGCTCTAACAGGAGATGAAGTAAAGATCTGCATGCAGCGGTTTATTAAAATTGATGGCAAGGTCCGAACCTATATAACCTACCCTGCTGGCTTTATGGATGTCATCAGCATTGACAAGACTGGAGAGAACTTCCGCCTGATCTATGACACTAAGGGCCGCTTTGCAGTTCATCGTATTACTCCTGAGGAGGCCACGTACAAGTTGTGCAAAGTGAGGAAGATCTTTGTGGGCACAAAAGGAATCCCTCATCTGGTAACCCATGATGCTCGCACCATCCGCTACCCTGATCCCCTCATCAAGGTGAACGACACCATTCAGATTGATTTGGAGACAGGCAGAATTACTGATTTCATCAAGTTTGACACTGGTAACTTGTGCATGGTGACCGGCGGTGCTAACCTGGGAAGAATTGGCGTAATCACCAACAGGGAGAGGCATCCTGGTTCTTTTGACGTAGTTCATGTGAAAGATGCCAATGGCAACAGTTTTGCCACCCGGCTCTCCAACATTTTTGTAATTGGCAAAGTAAGTCTTGGGTTTCCCTTCTCTCCAGTCTAAGGAAAACCTGTAAATGCAGGTACTGCTGGGATTGCAGCTCCTTTGTACTTAATTAAAGATAATACAGCATGAAAAAAAAAAAAAAGAAACCTGAGACACAAGTTTACGTGATAAATGACATTTATATGTCAACCCAGACATGAAATTATAGGAACAGCAATCAGATCAGTGGTGGCAAGAAGCAAACGTGCCTGAGGAAACTTTTGGGGATGAAGAAAATGTTCTGTACCTTAAATATGATGATTACACTCGCTGTATACATTTATCAAAACTCATCAAACTGTACATTTTAAAAAGGGGATTGTGTTTTGTAAATTATCTTAATAAACCTGACTTTAAAAAATGCAAGCTGAGATACTTTATAACTGATCCAGTAATTATACCCCAATAACAACAAAAAAAAAAAGCAGACAATGTCAGAATCAGACAGACAAACACAGACAGAGGTGCTCCATCCAGCTTGGGAGCTTTAAAAACTGTGACCAAAAACTTGTTTGCAAGGAGAGGCCCACTTACCACCTTCCTAGAGTAAACTTAGAGGAACAAGAAAAGGATCCTTGCAGGGACTTAAGGGTTTGCCTATTTAAAGAAAATGTAAAGAGGGAGATGATACAAACAAGTGGATGAATCAGTCTCAGAGTTTCCCACCTAGTTATTTGCCACTCCAGGTGGCTGCAGAAATAGCAATATAAGATAAACTTTGAAAAACAATTAACACACATACACGCTCACACACACAGGAAAAAAACATGAAGAACATATCCTATATAATAAAAGGCTAATATGCAAATAGACCAAACAGCAGAATGACCAGTCACTATGATGCGCACTGACCATGAGGGGGCAGATGCTCAATGCAGGAGCTGCCCCCTGGTGGTCAGTGTGCTACCACAGGGGGAGTGCCGCTCAGCCAGAAGCTGGGCTCATGGCTGGCAAGCACAGCAGCAGTGGCGGGAGCCTCTCCCACCTCTGCAGCAGTTGGATATCTCCCGAGGGCTCCCAGACTGCAAGAGGGAGCAGGCCAGGCTGAAGGACACCTCCCCCTCCAGCGCACAAATTTCATGCACCGGGCCTCTAGTATCAAAATAACAAAGTGGTTGTCACTAAATAACAGACAGGATTATGGAGATTTAAAATGTCTTCATTTTGCTTTTCAGACTTTCCCAAGTTCACTCTTGCAATTTAAAAAAAAATTGTTTTTAAATGAAAAAAAAAGGTCAAAACACAAATGATTAATTGGGGGAAATATTTGCAACAGGACAGATGAAAATTAGTTCTTCAATATCTAGTAAGTTCTTAAAATCAATAAGAAAATACATTGAAAATGCAAAGAATCATGAATGAACAGAGAACTGAAATAAAATACAAATTGCTTATAAACATATGCAAAGATGTTCAACCTCACTAATAATTAAAGAAATGCATATTAAAACAAGTCAGATTGGCAATAAAAAAAACGTTATGATTTAAAGTTTTAGAGCAGTTGTGAGGGAAGGCACAATATTTCGTATACATTGTTATACTGTATATATAGTGTAATTAAGTATTAGGACACTTTTTAAATAGTATCAATTTTAAATGTGCATACCTGATAACTCAGCAATTCTACTTCTAGTACTTTGCATATTTGTCTAAATCAAGAATATTTGCAATACATACACAAAGATCATGTACAAGGCTACTCAGGCCAGTACTCTTCCACAGCACCAAAAAATTGGAAGTCACCTAATTGTCTATCAACAGGGATTGTCCTAACTATCCATCAATAGGTTAAATAAACTATACAAGGTCCCCATGACTTAGGAGGGAGACCTGCAAGGCCTGGCATCAGATATGTTCCATTTCCATCTGCAGGAATAAATAAATAAAGCAAGTTACAGGACAGAATGACAGCATTCTCCACTGTGTTTTAAAAAAATGTACTTAGTTTAGATGTGCATAGGGAACTCATACAACTTAACAAAAGGAAGATAAACAATCCAATTTAAAAAAAATAGAAAAAGAACTTAAATAGACACTTTTTGAAAGAGGACATACAGAAGGCCAAGAGATATATGAAAACATGCTCAAAGTCACTAATCACCCGAGAGATGCAAATCAAAACGACAATGAGGTGCCATCTCACACCTGTCAGAATGGCTATCATCAACAAATCAACAAATGACAAGTGCTGGCGAGGATGTGGAGAAAAAGGAACCCTCGTGCACTGCTGGTGGGAATGCAGACTGGTGCAGCCACTGTGGAGAACAGTATGGAGTTTCCTCAAAAAATTAAAAATGGAACTCCCATTTGACCCAGTAACCCCACTTGTAGGACTATATCCCATGAAACCAGAAACACCAATCAGAAAAGATATATGCATAGCAGCACAATTTACAATAGCTAAGACTTGGAAATAGCCCAAGTGCTGATCAGCAGATGAGTGGATTAAAAAACTGTGGTACACATATGTCATAGCAATATCTTTACCAGTACAGCTCCTAGGACAATGGAAACTAAGGAGAAAATAAACAAATGGGATGATATCAAAACAAAAACCTTCTGCACAGCAAAAGAAACCATCAACAAAACAACAAGAAAGCCCACTGCATGGGAGAACATATTTGCCAATGATATCACCGATAAGGGTTTAATCTCCAACATTTATAGGGAACTCATACAACTTAACAAAAGGAAGATAAACAATCCAATCAAAAAATGGGCAAAGGACCTAAATAGACACTTTTCAAAAGAGGACATTCAGAAAGCCAAGAGACATATGAAAACATGCTCAAAGTCACTAATCATCCGAGAGATGCAAATCAAAACAACAATGAGGTACCATCTCACACCTGTCAGAATGGCTATCATCAACAAATCAACAAACGACAAGTGCTGGAGAGGATGTGGAGAAAAAGGAACACTCGTGCACTGCTGGTGGGAATGCAGACTGGTGCAGCCACTATGGAAGACAGTATGGAGTTTCCTCAAAAAACAAAACATGGAACTCCCATTTGACCCTGTGATCCCACTTCTAGGAATATATCCCAAGAAACCAAAAACACCAATCAGAAAGGATATATGCACCCATATGTTCATAGCAGCACAATTCACCATAGCTAAGATCTGGAAACAGCCTAAGTGCCCATCAGTAGATGAATGGATTAGAAAACTGTGGTACATCTACACGATGGAATACTATGCTGCTGTAAAAAAGAAGGAACTCTTACAATTTGCAACGGCATGGATGGAGCTGGAGAGCATTATGCTAAGTGAAATAAGCCAGTCAATGAAGGAAAAATACCACATGATCTCACTCATTCATGGATAATAAAGACCATTACAAACTTTTGAACAATAATAGATACAGAGGCAGAGCTGCCTCAAACTGATTGTCAAACTGCAGTGGGAAGGCCAGAGAGGGTTGGGGGGCAGAAGGGAGGGGAGTAAGAGATCAACCGAAGGACTTGTATGCATGCATATAAGCAAAACCAATGGACATAAGACACTGGGGGGTAGGGGAGGCCAGGGGATTGTCAAGGGCGGAGATAAAAAAGGACACATATATAATACCCTTTGTAATACTTT